TCATTCAGTAGTGGGAAGTCAACACAGGCATGTTATGACAATATTTCCGCACTCATAGCAGTGCTGTGCACATTCCAGACACACTCATGCTGTGTGGACTATGTGCATGGTCTATACAGGTCATATCAAATGTGTTTCAGAGACAACAACCTATTCATATTTGGAATCACTTTGCAATTGTCCACAGAGGTTCTCTTTTCTGGATTATGAATATATAGGCAAGGCATGCTAGTTATGGACTCTGAGGGCTCTATACAGGATCAATTTCTTACATACAGCAGGCATCATGGATTAATTCAATTGTACATAATATTCCCAGATTTTATCAGCATTTTCTGAGCCCAGACTGAGCAGCTGAATGGAAACTGCCATTTTTGGAAGGCCAGCTTCCCTATGTAGCAGATCCCAGATGTCAGAGAATCAATGGGCAGTCTACAGGCTTTGATAGAGTCACTTTGAAGGTTAAAAGCAGTGCACTCATGTGTACAGAGGCATATGTGGGTTTTTGAGTTTTGTGAATTGTGCCATGTCCACTGAAGTTGATGGGCAAGTCACAGCAGCTACAGACTCTATGACATCATACCTATCAGAGAGAATATTTGTTGTATTTGTTGTATTTGTGAAGGCTACAGTACAGCAGATACATGGACTTGAGAGCCTTTGGCCAAATACAGTAAGGCCAGTCAGAGGCTAATTCCCTTGAACAGCATATTTCAGTGGAGCCTGGGAGACTACACGGCAAGATGACTTGTCCACAGGTCAAAATTTTGACCTGTGGACGAGTGAACCTCACATGGCATGTGGCTGAGCCTATTGCACCAGACTCTGTGTTTCTGCTATCCATCTCATCCACAAGTACTCAGCATCACACATAAGTCCTATCAACCCACAATGGGACAATAGTGTTATCCAATGTTTTGCTCATTTTCCCGCCATTTATGCAACACTGTAAAGGTGATCTATCATCAACTTCCCAAACAGGCAAGGGATCTACCATATATGGTGATTTTTATATCTGGTAACCATAGACCCCTGCATAAGATTGTCAGCCTGTAGGACTCTCCAGTAAGGGCAGTAAATGCAAAACAACATTTGTACATATGCCTCTGCATCACTTGCCATGGTCAGTACACTGTGAACAAGCACTGGGATACCTAATTTGGACCTCCATACCTGTGTGCAAGGAGCATTGCATGAAAGTCAATATTCCGAGATTTCTCCACATTTAATGTGCTCTAGTAAGAGTCTAGACAGTGTTGCTGACCACATTGGGCATGAAAAAACTCGGCATGGGGAGCTGAGATTCAATGATTCCCTTAGAAGGCAAGGTTTGCCAGTGGTTCAACCAATGACATTGCTCCAAAATCCCTTTTGGGTGAGCTGAGTGAGCCTACTGAGTGGGAAATCATGTTTCAAACGGTCCACCCGGAGTGCATTTGGCCCGTTTCTAACGGTGTACCCGGGCTCGGCCGGAGCACTCCGGGTCTACCGTTTGGAGCGGCCGCCGCCAGCAACGAACTGGCCGGAGGAAGGGTGGTGGTTTGGATTGGTCCGGCCGGAGTGTTGGGTAACATTCCGGCCGGAGCTCTGGTGAACGTACCGGCCGGAGGCCTCGAGAAATATGGGTTTCCTACGGTCCGGCCGGACTGTTATCAAACATTCCGGCCGGACCCCTGGTCAACGGTCCGGCCGGAGGCCTCGAAAAATTTATGTTTCCTACGGTCTGGCCGGACACATACCCAATGTTCCGGCCGGACCTTTGATCAGTGTCCCGGCCGGAGGCCTTGAAAATTTGGGCTCTCAACGGTCCGGCCAGGCTCATCACTAATGGTCCGGCCGGAGCACTCAGCAATGATTCAGCCTGGCCGGGGTTGGTTTCGGACGTCTGGCCGGCCCCCAGGTGAAACGGTCCGGCCGGGCAAAATCCCAACTTCCAATGTGAACAGGCCAGCCAGAAGCCTTGCAAAATCTGGGCTGTAAATGGTCCGGCCGGGCTAGTTTCTAACCATCCAGCCGGACCCCAGATGAACCAACCGGCCAGGCTTCTCCCAAACCAGCCAGACCCCTCAGAATTGATACACTAGTAATATAACAACAAGAATTGTTAGTTGTAACAACCAAGCTCAATATTTAACCACCAAGCCCAGAGATGAGCCACCAAGCTCGGTATCAAACCACCACCGAGCTCAATAGTGAGCCACTGAGCACAGTATTGAACCACCGAGGTTAAACAGCTAGGCTCGGTGGCCGAGAAAACTTGGCCGGGCTCGGCGCCGAGGATAAATGGCCGAGGCTCGGGCCGAGGTTTCAAGTGCCGAGCTCGGTGAAAACCACCGAGGTCAGTATCAAAGCATTGAGCTCAGTGTTAAGGGGCCCAGGTAAAGGGCCGAGCTGAGTGTTCAATGACCGAGTTTGTTGTTGAAGCACTGAGCTCGGAAATGGCCGAGGTTAAACCACCGAGCTCGGTGAAAAACGGCCGGGCCGTCAGATTGCCATATAAGGAAATTTGGTATCATCTGGTAGCCCTTCATTCACAGAGTACAGTATATGTTCCCTAGTGTACAGAGATGCCTAGTTAGGTCAGAGAATACAAAACAAAATATGCTCACAGGCTTCTCTGAGAACATACTATTCAACTCCTGAGGCCAGTTTTCTTTTCCCACAATGTTTGACCATCTAGAATGTGCTATTTCAATGCACAGACTACATCCCCAACAGGAATAGTCTTATTCTTTGAAGCTGAATGCAGGACAAGAGATAAGGGGCATATAGGTATGGGATATGCATGTCTGACTTGAATGTTGGTTCCTGCAGCCAATATTCTTTCCAAATAGGGTTTCACCATCTAGAGTGGTTCATTTACTCACATGGAGTAAGTGCTCCAAAGGAACAGTCTTATTCACACAAGCTGAATGCAGTACAGAGTTAAGGTGTCAAGGGTGGAGTGGGATACAGATGAACTATGTTTACTTTGTAAAGCCAATATGCTTTGCCCATAATGTTTGACAAACTAGAATGGCTTAATCCAACATGAACAGCAAAGTCCTCAAGAGGAATAGTCTTATTCTTCCTAGCTGAACTGAGCATGGAGCTAAGGGGAACATGCATTATTGTGTCATGATGGGGCCTGCTTTGAATGATTGTCTGTATCAAACTGTGATGTGCACCCATGCGCATTGCACTGGCCACAGAAACATCTCTCCATTGGTAATGGTCCGGCCGGACAATGCTCATTGCCAATGGTCCGGCCGGCCATTGCTCGTAGCAAACGGTCCGGCCGGTGCACTGTCCTAGGCCAGCCAGAGCAAAATGCGACACATCTGTCCAATGTATAAACTCTTCAGCTATATCATGCATGGATACAGAAGTGATGATCAGCATTGTTCAAATTGAGTGATACTTATATGAGACCAGATTCCCTTAACTCTGTACTGCATTCAGCTTGTGTGAATAAGACTATTCCTTTGGAGGACTCACTCATTGTGAGGAAATGAATCATTCTAGATAGTCAAACACTATTTGGAAAGAATATTGGCTGCAGGGAGTGAACATCATTATCCAACATGTATACCCCTTATCTCCTGTCCTGCATTCAGCTTCAAAGAATAAGACTATTCCTGTTGGGGATGTAGTCTGTGCATTGAAATAGCACATTCTAGATGGTCAAACATTGTGGGAAAAGAAAACTGGCCTCAGGAGTTGAATAGTATGTTCTCAGAGAAGCCTGTGAGCATATTTTGTTTTGTATTCTCTGACCTAACTAGGCATCTCTGTACACTAGGGAACATATACTGTACTCTGTGAATGAAGGGCTACCAGATGATACCAAATTTCCTTATATGGCAATCTGACGGCCCGGCCGTTTTTCACCGAGCTCGGTGGTTTAACCTCGGCCATTTCCGAGCTCAGTGCTTCAACAACAAACTCGGTCATTGAACACTCAGCTCGGCCCTTTACCTGGGCCCCTTAACACTGAGCTCAATGCTTTGATACTGACCTCGGTGGTTTTCACCGAGCTCGGCGCTTGAAACCTCGGCCCGAGCCTCGGCCATTTATCCTCGGCGCCGAGCCCGGCCAAGTTTTCTCGGCCACCGAGCCTAGCTGTTTAACCTCGGTGGTTCAATACTGTGCTCAGTGGCTCACTATTGAGCTCGGTGGTGGTTTGATACCGAGCTTGGTGGCTCAACTCTGAGCTCGGTGGTTCAGCTCTGAGCTCGGTGGTTCAACTCTGAGCTCGGTAGTGGTTAAATATTGAGCTTGGTTGACACAACCTTGGTCATTTTCCAGCTGAGCTCGGTGGTTAACAATTCTTGTTGTTATATCACCGGCAGTTCAAACCTGAGGTGTCTGGCTGGTTTGGGAGAAGCCCGGCCGGTCTGTTCATCTGGGGTCCGGCTGGCTGGATGATTACAAACTAGCCTGGCCAGATTGTTTACAGCCCAGATTCCGCAAGGCTTCTGGCCAGATGTTTGGAAGGTGGAATTTTGCCTGGCCGGACCATTTCATCTGGGGTCCGGCCAGAAGGTTAGATATCAACCCCCGGTCCTGGCCGGAACATTGAGAACCCAAATCTTTGGAGGCCTCCAGCCGGATCATTGCTGAGTGTGCCGGCCGGACCATTGCTGAGTGCTCCGGCCGGACCATTGAGAGCCCAAATTTTTGAGGCCTCTGGCTGGGACACTGATCAAAGGTCTGGCCGGAACATTGAATATGTGTCCAGCCGGACCGTAGGAAGCCTAAATTTTTCGAGGCCTCCGGCCGGACCGTTGACCAGAGCTCCGGCCGGAACGTTGGATAACAGTCCGGCCGGACCGTAGGAAACCCATATTTCTCGAGGCCTCCGGCCGGTACGTTCACCAGAGCTCCGGCCGGAACGTTACCCAACACTCCGGCCGGACCATTCCAAACCACCACCCTCCCTCCGGCCAGTTCGTTGCTGGCGGCGGCCGCTCCAAACGGTAGACCCGGAGTGCTCCGGCCGAGCCCGGGTACACCGTTAGAAACGGGCCAAATGCACTCCGGGTGGACCGTTCGAAACGGTCAAGTTCCACTCAGTAATGTGCTGCCATGGAGTGTTGATTCGTGGATCGGGCATGAGCTCAGGGCATGTGAGGTAGGTTTGACGGTGGTTTGTTGCCCGAGTAAGTTGCGAGTCGAGGGCACCCAGAATGAGTGCAGCGGCAAGTCCGAGGCGGAGGCGTTCTTCATCCTCGAGCTCATCATCGCTGTCCAGCCCGGAGAGAGCACGCATACCAGGCATACCAGGAGTCATGGTATTCGATTTAGGACGTGACAGTAAGTTCTAAACTCGTCTTACGGATTTAGAACTTGTTCTAAACACAATTCAAGCTCCGCTATAACTCGTTTAGAGACGATCGGTCGGTTCTAAATCCTTACGGATAGTCATCCAGTCTGTCTCTCGTATGCAACTGGGACCGTCTCACGTTGTTGTCATTAGGAGCCCATCTGACGGTATCGACGTGCTTCTGCGGGAGCCCGGGTTCAAATACCATGAGATACCACTGGGTGCTTAGTACCGGTCGAAACGAAACCGTTCATTCAACTGTATAACGGACGGGTTTCGTCCGGACAATGGTCGTTTTTCGCACGTTCAACGGTTCATTGCACCGGTCTGACTTTCGACCCGCACATGTCCCTTTTCGACCGGTATTAATCCCGTGGTCAACGTGTGCGACAGAACCGGTATACTGATCTTTTTTAATATGGATTACCTGTCTGCAGATTCAGCCAGTGCCCGGTCGAAAGGTCAACCGTTTAGCATTCCCTTTTAGCACTGGTAAATGGTACGTTTTTCATCCCGCAGACAGCTCATACTGATAGATAGGCAGTCGGTATGTGGTTCTGTCAACACCAATTCATTGTAACTTAGGAAGTAGTACAGCACACGAAATGACTAGGAGGGTATGGTATCGGTATATTCGATGGCTAGCTAGTGGTGGCTTGTGTACTACATACCTTATAAACACATTAGTAGACAGCCTGGAAGTAACTTCCAGGCTGTAGTGTTTGAAAGTCCAGTCCATGGACTGGAAAAAGACTGGGACTGAACTGGGACTGGCCTTGGAAAGACTGGACTGGACTGGTCAAAGTAGGACTGGTCTTACCCAGTCCAGTTGCAGTCTTCCAGGGTTGGGGAAATTGGAGGGACTGGTCAAAAGACTGGTTGCAACCAGTTGCGACTGGTCTTTGGCCACCCCCCTAATATGCTGGTGTACATGGCCAAATGGAAGGTTTTGGGGGTCATAAATAGCAGTAGTACATAGGATATGCACAACATGGTGGACATATTAATGATGTAACCTATTTAGGCAACATGTATTGTCCATCTATGCACCTCCACTTATGCCTAATATGGTAGGTGTACCTGTCTCACCCTTACTGACATCACATGCCTTGCCTGTATCAGTCATTATGGACTGAAATATGATGCTCCCATGGGATACACACTATTGCCTACCATTATATACCATATTACAATAGTACAAAAAGCTTTGTAACCAAACATGCAGACATAATTGCTGAACAAACCAGTTGCAACTGGCAAAAGACCAGTCAGGACCAGTTGGGACCAGTTGGGACTGCATGTGCAGTTGCAACCAGTTGGGACCAGTCTTTGGAGGCAACTGGACTGCAAAGGACTGGTTGCAGTCAGTCCAGTCCCAGTCCTACCATTTTGGGGCCAATCTAGGACCAGTCGCAGTCGCAGTCTTTCCTCTGAGGGGTCAAAAGACTGGACTGGACTGGACTTTCAAATACTATGGAAGTATACAGGTATCAATACATACTACTGAACATATGCATGGCACCATGGCCCCTAGGCCTACGGCCCATCGTCCGAGCTCTCCACGTCGTCCATCGTCAAAGGTTGAACTGGGCTGCCATTGGCTGCGGCTGCGGCCGCTGTGGCGCGAGCGAGTTTGTTGAGATGAAGTTTACGGTGTTTGCAGTAAGCGTGGGCCAGCGCATCGACCGGCCAGTTGTGTACGAAGTGTTGTAAGTATGGAAAGTTGACACGAGCCTGTAGGGAGATCGCATGAGACACGTGTGTCGGCGTTTATTCGAAGACTGATGCAGCAAATTCAAGTCGGAGTCCGCCGTCACCGCCTAGCATGCGCTACGTCGACGTCGACTCGACTAGCATTGGCGGGTTTGCTCTACGATCGATGTAGCTCTTGGCGGGTGGCCAGTGAAGTCTAGGTATAGTACTCGTCATACAAACAGGTCAGTAATCTCACTCACCAACCGCATTACTTTAGCTAACATGCTCTTGTCCTGGTAGTTCCACCTGACGTTTATGTTGAGCTGTGCTGCCCTAACATATTCGCGCACAGCATACTTCGATGAACTGTGAGTTTTCTCCTACCCATGGGCCGAGCATGACAAGGCTCACTTTGATCTGCCTATACGTAGCTGGGTCATTCGCTAACCCCATTGCTTCCTGCAGGTTATAATCTTCGCCGGCCGTGCCTTTCGGGCGAGGGATCATGGGTGGTGGCCGCCCTGCTGTGTTGCCACTCGCAGCAGTGCTAGCACTAGCGTTGGTACTGGTACCGGTGTTCTGCGCAGACACGAGCATTTGGTTCGGCGCGGGTACAACTACTGCGGTGGTAGTCGCGTTTGATGCTGATACCTGTGCCGCACCGTGATGTCCGGGTACCAGTGCGGGCGGCACCATACCATTCTGTGTCGGTGCGGCCGCTGTACCGTTCTGCGTTGGGGCTGCCATACCATTTGGCAACGGCCTGACTGGCGGGTTCACAGCTGGCATTGGATTCGCATTCTGTTGCATCGCAATGATTTGTGCTGCAGGGATGCATGAGGACGATCAATTCTCATGCCGAATCAAGATGTTTGATATACTACATGCAGGTGAGTGCGACTTACCTTCCAAATTACAAATCATATGCTGTAATTCCTCGTGTGTCTGCGTTGGCGCAGGTGGACCCGGTATGACCAGTAGCTGTGGGTTGATGGGCGGTTCCGGGATGTTCAAATTGACGATTCCGGTTGCAGAGCTGGTAACTGTTGCTTGCCCATTGGTGGTATTGGCCGGGACTGGAGCTGCGAGGTCAGGACTGGGTCGTGGACCTACTGTGGGCCCGGCAGCAGCTGGGGCTTCTACAGTTGACGTGGGATCCCCAGAATGCTGATCGTTGGCACGGGCACCTTCAGCTGTTGTGCTATCGTGGGGAGGTGAACTACTAACCACTTGCGAATTCTCAGAATTGTTCAAGTTTGGGCTGCCACTCGTTGGAGATGCCACGTCGACGTCGCCTGCAGGGTGCGGGTCTGTGCTCGGCGGGGTGCTGTTCGTTTGGCGGTGATTGGGTTGCTTTGGTGCTGCTCCCCTCTTGTGGCGAGTTTGGGGCATCTTGTGGATGCTCGAGTAGGTGTGTGTTACTGTCCAGGACGAGTGCTGATGGGGGTGTCAACACTGCAATTTAGAGCAAAAGGTGCTCGACGTGTTATCAACGTACAAGTTCAGACTGTCACGTGCAGTCTCTGGATTGCTTGCCTTTGTGCGTGCTAAGTTGGGCAATCCATAGCCTTCACTGCCGTCCTCGAGCTGCATAACAAAAATATTGAACAGTCGTAGTACTTGAAGAGTCAACCTGGGGCCCTAGGTGAGTCAAGGATGTTCTCGTCAGAGCTAACTAGTCACTGACAAGTCTGACAGTACATATGCCTGCATCGAGGACGCACACGGCCAAAATACCGTGTGCTTGCGGTTGCGGCGAGGACATACATCTGAAGACTCAAACACGCCATCTAAAGGGCCAGGGTCCGTCTTACATTGTGACGAAAGTGCTTGCTGACCGCACGTACCTGTCTGGACATCAGCATGCACCAACCAATGTCCCTGGACCATCGCGGTCGCACGAGAACGGTCAGAATTGTGCTCACCTTTTTGAACAGAGTACTAGGATAGGGCAACCACTAGCCCCTCGTGCGGCTCTGACTCCTGATCATCAAGCGGACACTGTCGGCACACTGCCTTGCAATCAGCCAGACAACCACCCTGCACACCACCACGAGCAACTGAGTATTGGTGTCGACGAACCATCAATGGAAGTGGAGGCTCCACCCCAGATAGTTCAAGTCGGGCAAAACCGCTGGATGGGTCAGGGAGCACAGGATGGTGGGCGGAGTGGCTCAGACTCCGAGAGCGACGAGGAGGAAGATAATTCCATGGAAGGCGAGGGCGAGCACGAAGAGGATGATGAGGCAGATGAAGATGACAAGTTTACCTTGGAGGAGGACCTCTTATTTGAGCTCTTGCCAGGCAGGACGGAGGACACGATCAACCTGTGGGATTCCCTAGGGGAGCGGTTTGAGCGAGATGCACATGATGTGGCACATTGTATGCCACTTTTTTCACGACACGAGTGGAATTTCGCTGACTAACTGTCCGCAGCGCAAGGTGCCTTGTCGTCGGAAGATATCAATCTGCTCAAGGCGGCGTCATTGAAGACTCAAGATTACCTGTCAGAAGCGACATTCAAGAAATTCCGAGTGACATTTGGAACACCGGGCCTTTGCGGCCTTCAAGAATCCCGCTGTTGCATCGAATTCCTGGCTGGTTTCAAGCCTGTTCGTTACGACTACTGCGTGAATAGCTGTGTCTGTTATGTCGGACCAGCCTATGCAGAGCTCACGGCTTGTCCGCAGTGTAACGAGCCTCGCTACCAAGATAGCACCCATCGCAAGGCGAGGAAATTGTTTGTCTACATCCCCATTATCCCACGGCTTCAGTCACTCGTCGCCCATAACAAACAAGCCGACCTCATGCGTTACCGTGCTCACGACCATCCCGCGAATCGTCAGCCAGACAAGATGACTGACATCTTCGATGCCAGCCACTACGAAGGCCTCCAGAAGACGTGTGTCACTGTTGACGGCCAAGAGCTCAACCACGCGTTCTTCTCAGATCCTCGAGACATCGCCCTCGGCTTTGCGACGGATGGCTTCTCGCCTTTCAAAGGGAAGCAATCAAGGAAACATACCGCATGGCCCCTCCTCTTCTTCAATTACAACCTGCCACCGGAAGTGCACTTCCATAAGCACCATCTGCTATGCGTCGGGATCGTCCCAGGCCCTAAGAAGCCATGGGACATGGACTCCTTCCTCTATCCCATGATTGAGGAGCTCGTACGACTTGCAATTGGTGTGACTGCATTCGATGCCCTGACACGAGAATTGTTCGTCCTTCATGCCTACCTCATCCTAGCCTTCGGCGACATCCCCGCAGTATCCCTGATCATGCATATGAAAGGCCACAATGGCTTGTTTCCTTGCCGCATGTGCAAGATCAAGGAATTCGGAACGTCAACTTGAAAACACTGTATGTCCCGCTCTCCCGCACAGGCTTCCCAGGGACCGAAAGCTACGATGGACGTAACCTCCCATTGCGTACCCCCGCTCAGTTCATGTCAGACGCCAGGGAGGTTGATGTGGCACCAAACCAGGCGCGTGCAGAAGCTCTGGGGAAAGCATGCGGCATCAAGGGTACGCCACTGCTCTCGACGCTGTCATCCTTATCGTTTCCCTTGTCTTTCCCATATGGCTTCATGCACCTCATATGGGAGAGCCTCATTCCCAACCTCGTATCGATCTGGACAGGTGACTTCAAAGGCTTGCCTTTGTCGAATCAAAGCTTTGCAATTCGGTCAAGTGTTTGGGACGCAATAGGGTCAGCTTGCAAGGCATCCAGCCGGACCATCCCATTGTCTTTTGGGGCAGCTGTGCCAGATGTTGCCAAGGAGACAAGCTCGTTCACGGCCGAGATGTGGTCCCTTTTTACTCTCCACCTGGGCCCGATCCTCCTCCGCCGCCAGTTTCAGCACGAGCGATACTACAAGCACTTCATTGAACTTGTTAGATTGCTTAACATCTGTCTCAAATTCGAGATTTTGCACGAAGATATTGACGAAGTCGAGGAGGGGTTCATGAATAGTATTTGAAAGTCCAGTCCAGTCCAGTCTTTTGACCCCTCAGAGGAAAGACTGCGACTGCGACTGGTCCTAGATTGGCCCCAAAATGGTAGGACTGGGACTGGACTGACTGCAACCAGTCCTTTGCAGTCCAGTTGCCTCCAAAGACTGGTCCCAACTGGTTGCAACTGCACATGCAGTCCCAACTGGTCCCAACTGGTCTTTTGCCAGTTGCAACTGGTTTGTTCAGCAATTATGTCTGCATGTTTGGTTACAAAGCTTTTTGTACTATTGTAATATGGTATATAATGGTAGGCAATAGTGTGTATCCCATGGGAGCATCATATTTCAGTCCATAATGACTGATACAGGCAAGGCATGTGATGTCAGTAAGGGTGAGACAGGTACACCTACCATATTAGGCATAAGTGGAGGTGCATAGATGGACAATACATGTTGCCTAAATAGGTTACATCATTAATATGTCCACCATGTTGTGCATATCCTATGTACTACTGCTATTTATGACCCCCAAAACCTTCCATTTGGCCATGTACACCAGCATATTAGGGGGGTGGCCAAAGACCAGTCGCAACTGGTTGCAACCAGTCTTTTGACCAGTCCCTCCAATTTCCCCAACCCTGGAAGACTGCAACTGGACTGGGTAAGACCAGTCCTACTTTGACCAGTCCAGTCCAGTCTTTCCAAGGCCAGTCCCAGTTCAGTCCCAGTCTTTTTCCAGTCCATGGACTGGACTTTCAAACACTAGGTATGTTTGTGTTTCCATATTCTGGTACATTATTCACGCAGTTATGCATACCATCACAGATAGAGTCAGCACTGATGGATGTGGCATCGCGCAGCCAGCCTACAGTGTTTTCGAACAAGCACTTCGCTCCAAAGTAAGTAGTACATCAAGACTTCAGAGCCCGACAGTGAATGCTAACGAACTCCAGGTGGGATAGCATGATGGCTATCCTAGAGACTCTCGAAGAGAGAGCCAGCGAGTATCTCGAGGTGACGAAGGGGTTGATTTGGAAGCACATCAGGTAAGGTTACGTCTGTGACATGCACAATTACTGACACTACCTACAGCACTCGTCTCAATGCGGGCCCGAACGTGTTCGAGGAGTCTGTAGAGAGTGATGATGAGTCGGAGAGCGGTTTCATACCTCTGCTCGAATTGCAACCGTCAAAGCCGCAGAGCGACAGCAACGAGCCTGGCACGTCGAAGGTGGCGTCGAAGGTGGCGTCGAAGGTGGCGTCGAAGGTCGCATCGAAGGTCGCGTCCACTGGCAAGCCTCCATCGAGCACAGTGAATAGGGCGGGTAAATCGATCGCCTTGTCGTCGAAGACACCTGGGAAGTCATCCAGCTCGACGAAGACACCTGGCAAACCATCCAGCTCGGCGAAGAGCACCAAGACCCCCCAGCCCTTCAAAGAAACCTCGGAGCGCAGGTGCCTCAACATCGAAGGCTAGGAGCAAACGTCGTGTCGACAGCGACGAAGACGACGAGGTCATCTCAGGCGAGGAGCAGGGCCCGGGTCCAAGCGATAATGAAGGGAGTGGTGGAGTTGCAGGCGATGTAGGCGACATAGCTGAACCTCGGGAATCTGGCGAAGGTAAGTGAATAGTCGCCCATCATGTTACACCAGTTCATTCAGCATGGCACAGAACCTGTCGACGCCGCGTCCAACGATGAGGGTGCCTGAATGCTTCTTACATCAACTCTATTGAGTCTTAGGTTGAGCCGGTTCCAAGGTAAGTAAATCTCTTGTATTCGTAGTCTTCGTTCTCTACATCCAAGCTTTATTCACTCAAATGTCTAGATACCCTATTTCTCACCATTGCTCTCACCCTCGCCCTCGCCCTCGCCCTCGCCCTCGCCCTCGCCCTCGCCCTCGCCCTCGCCCTCGCTATCACTCTCGCTCTCGCTCTCGCTATCACTCTCGTCGCTTTCGCTGCCCCCCTAACTCTCGTCGCCCTCGTCACGGTAGCTATAGTCGCCCTCGTCGCCCCCGTCTCTCTCACACTGCCATCATGATCGTCACCATCACTAGTATCACACTCGCCTGTATGTAGCACACTTCCTCATGTGCTGGCGCTTACCTCTACTCATTTATTGGCATGCTTGCTGTGCTAACACTCTGCTTGATATGTTGTGTACCACTACCTGTTATGACACTGTATGAGTTTTGAATGCCGATGGATGAACAGCATCATGATGCCAGCTTGAGTGAAATTAAGTAAACTGAAGCTCCATAAGCAGTAAAAAGGAAACCCGTCGTGCTGAAGTGCATTGGTATAACCAGTAGGCTTTTCTATACTTCACTATGAATCCAAACACATTTTTGCTTCAATATGATTCAATCATAACAAAGCTTTCCATTGTTTTACGTTGCATAAGCTAGGCTATTCCGTCTTTTCTAAGCAATTTTAAAAATGGACTTGTGTAAAACAGTCTTCTCTGTCTTCAGACAACTTCACCTCTTAAATGGGCAGAATATGACAGGAAAAGACAAATGAGTTTTTCCTGATGTACATGTATTATATGCTACATGAACCCGAAGGCGCACATGCAAGCATTCAAGCGTACTCTGCAGACGGGGGAATGGGCAGGTCAGGAACCCACTGGCAGTGAGCAACCGCGTATTTTGGCATGCTCGCGAGTTCGACGACGGGCAAATAAAAGTTTGTGCAAGTAGGCGTACAGCGATCGAGTTAGTGAGTAGGTGAGTAACTGGGTGAGCAGTCGACGGGTGAGCTCGCAAGCAGATGGGCGGGCTGGCAACGGGTGAGCAACCGGACGGACAAGCGAGTGAGCGAACGGACAGGCGAGTGAGCTAACGCGCCACTGACCAGATGCGTGAGCTAGTGGAAGGGCGAGCGAGCGAGTGGATGCGAGTGGACGGACAGATGAATGGGTGTTGGACGAGCGAGCCGACGGGCGAATATGTCGATAAGGCAAGCGAGTGGATGGGCAAACAGGCACGTGGGCGGACAAGCGGGCGGACGAGTGGCCGCAGTGGGTGGGCGGGCTCGCGAATGGGCTGGCAGGTGGCCAGGCGGCTGAGTAGGTGAGCGATAGCAAGTGGGTGCCCAAGAGCCCGAGCATACGAGCGAGGAGGGTGGATGCAGATGGCTGCGATTACCTGGTAAGTCCTTGTGTACTGCGCTAGTGGACATACTGGGGTGCCCGGCAGGCTCTTGCTCGTCGCACTCCTGCTTGCTGAGCTGGGTCGTGCTGGGCGTGGGCACATCATATCGGTGTGCAGCGAGTCGGCCCTCGTCGTCGAAGCAGTATGCGTCTGCGCGTGACATGTCGTATCCGTAGGCAGCCAGCTCTTGCTTGCGGGTCCGTGCGTGGCATTACGCTCGTCAGGCGTATTGGTTGGTGTCCTTGCGCACGCGCGCGCCGAGGTCGTCTTCCCTGCGCTCGTGCTCATTGGGCACGCGCGCAATGGGGCCATCTCCGTTGCATTCATCTCCATCCGGTCGTCCTGGTGGGCATTCACTTGCCAGGGTTCAACAACGAGGTACACTCACCTCATTTCCTGGCCCTGTTGGCTGTAGTTTCCTTTCCTCCATGCGTGTTAAACCTTCACGAGCCTCCAGCGATGCTTTTGGCGCGTCACTGGAACTCGTTGCAGTCGCGTACAGCGCGGTCTTCGGCCATGCAGTGGTCCAGTTGACATGTGCTGTCTCTTGCGGACGGGCCCGCCTGTATGTATTGGAGGTCGGTTGGAGGTCGGCAGCGGGCTAGCGAGGGCGAAGCAGACAGGGAGGAGGCGACGGACTCTGAGCCTCGAAAGAGGTCCGGCGAGCGCGCGTGACGTGTCGTGGCTGAGGCGCTTAGCACTTCTCGCGAGCTGCAGCCTCCACGCTCCTCCACGGCGACGTCGACTCCTCAACTCCTCCTCTTCAACGCTGCGCGGTAGCACCCAAGCACACGGAAAGTACGACGGAGGAGCGAGGGCAACAGGGAGCTGGGGGAAGAGGGCCATCGAAGGGATAATACAGGTGAGTGCGATGCCCGCCTACTTGTGCATGCGTGTGGCACCCGCTCGCTCGCTCGCCCGCCCGCCTGCTCGTCTGCCCACCCTAGGCCTCGCCTCGCCCTCTTGCTAGCCCACTCTTCTACTTACCTTCTTGCTGGCCTAGCTCTCCGCCCAGCCGATCCCGCATTCTTGTTGGTTCGCCCGCCCTCTCGCTCTTTCCCGTTCTTGCTTGCTCACTCCTACACTCTTGTTAGCTCACGCGCCTGTCCGCTTGCTCGCCCACCCTCTTGCGCTCTCTCGTCCGTCTAGGCTCGGCCAGCTCGCTCGCCCACTCCTCCGGCGCTCCTCCATCTTCTGCTCAACCGCCTCCCCAAACCCACGCACCTTCCTCACGCCCTCCTTTGCCTGCTCCAGCACGCCCTTCACCCTTCCGCCCGCCGCCACCGCTGCCGCCTCCCTCTCTCTCACCCTGCATCATACCGCTCCGTGACCGACTCGCTCAGCATCCCCTTCCGCCCGCGCTTCTTGTTCCCAGCGCCTGCGGCCCCGCGCCCATCGCGAACTGCACCTCCCCGTCCCGCCTCACCATGCCTGTCCCCGTCCCGCGCCAGCCGCCCAACATGCCCTTGCCTGTGCCCTCGCTGTTCTTCCGCAGGCTCTCGAACTCGTTCCAGAACCCGGCAACGAGCGCAACCTCCCGCCCAAGCCCCGCACACGCAAACACGTCCGTGCGCTTGCCGACGTCCCACAGGAATGCGTCCGCCACCTCGAGCGTCGCACGCACCCACTGCTCGAGCACCGTCCGCAGCGCCAACGTGCTCATCTTCCCGCCTTCCCACCTGCTCGCCTTCCCGCCCACTCGCACTCCTGCTCGCTCACTGGCCCGCCCGCGTGTTCTCTCGCTCGTGCAGTTGATGGCGCGTTCAGAGCGCGACATGAACCACTACTGGTTGATGGCCATGCTCGCGAATGAGACGTGGTGCGCAGACGACACGGAACACTGCAGGTATGACTAGATTGCGCAAGCACATACAGATGTTTTGTACACGAACGAGGAGATGAGGTTGTGGAGGTTGCGTCAGGAGGAGGCGCAGAGAGAGACTGGGCGCAAGAGATCGTGGACAGGCTAGAGCAGGATATGCAGAAGTGGTACGGGCGAGGATGCTCGCGAGGAAGCTGAGGCTCTGCTCGCTCACTTTCTTATACTCTCGTATTTGTGTACGGGCAGAATGTACAACATTACAGCTAAATGAAGATGGTAGAGATGATTATTGAATGGGTGACTGGTACTACGATAAATTGAATGAAAAGGTCAATTCTGGTGTCTGTCTGATACTCACTGTGCATCTGAAGTAACCTGAGTATCCTGAGATATCTGGTGTTCTGAGGGTGTCTGAGGCTACCCTATCAGCCCGTCAGATGTTCAGGAAGTGCCGGGTTTGCTGATGTGATCTTCTGGCTCACAGATGATCCAATTTGAGCCAGTGTCTCACAGCGTGAGACTGTTGCTCAGCCGGCACTACTGGCAATGTACCAAAGGGTGCTCACACTTTCTCGCAGACCCACTTGAGACTTGAGTGTGGCTGGCTTGCCATGGACATGGAACAAGGCTGTCGAGAAGTGACCAGGGAGATACAGTAGAGTTTTGGAAATAATTGTATGTAGTATTAGAGGTGAAATGGGCTCACAGTCCGAGACTGTCAATGGCAACTAGGCATGATGAATGCGGGCGGGAACCAAGTGGGAACACGGGTATAGGTTGTCGGCTGATTGGCCTGAGCTGGAGTCTCGCTGTTGCTTTTTGCTGAGATAGGTGCTTGCCAATGAGCATTCCTGAGCAACAATCTCGCCCGTGATTGAACGTCTCACGTCTTGCCTTTCACGAGAAAATCCTGTCATTCAGTTCTCCTGATGTGATTGCCCTTTGGGCATCATCCATGCCCAGGACACTTGCACTTGTCGGATGCTGTTCTGCTTGTTTCTCACACAGTTGTGTGGGCCTGCTTGGGGGCTCTATACTGAGCAGGGCTCTGGGGGCAGCCTATGAATGCCTGCCGCTCACTGGGGGTCCAGACTGAGGTCATATATGAGTCAATAAAGTGAGTGGAAAAGAAAAAGGAAAGAAAAAGAATAAAAGAATGCAGTGAGTAGTCTTGACAATATTTCAATAATACACTGAACAACATCTCTGTTGTATCTGCAGGATCCTGACAAGGCAATTCAACCCAATACCTCACTTGCCATTCCCACCAAGAATACCACCATAGCATGGCCTGCATACTGCACAGCCCATGAGATCACACAGGAGCAAGTGTCTCCAAGTCAGTTCACCTCAGGCTCTGACCATGACCAAGATGTTTGTTCAACACAAATGAGCATCTGAGTCCACTCTCAATGGATAAACCAAGATCACCTGTCAGTGCCAAAGCCATCACTGACAATTGACCTGAACCTGACCAGCATGCATGATCAAACCCACATACCAACAAACAAACTGCAAACCCAACACAACTGTAAACCAACAATGAACCTGTGATCAACAATTCAATTGACACAATGACACTCAGTAAGGTGACCAGACTGCACATATGGATGTTGGACCTTACATAATGTATCATATATGGTAACCTGCAGGACAGCAGGGTTACACACTCTTAAACACATTAATCTTCATCTGTTTGGTAAGCTGGAGATAAGATAGCTGCTCATGGAAGGCAGTGATGTAAGTGCCCAAAGCCCCTCCTGGTCAGCTCAGAGCCTTGTGTTAATGTGCCTTGCCATACTTTGGAATTAACCATATACTGTATACTATATTGTATATATTCATATACCCTGGACATGGTACATACATGGATACAGTATATGGTTAAAACCGTATATACCCAGTATATACATGAAATGGTTGGAGCCTTAACGCCTAGTTCTGCCGCACAAAACGTAGATACATAGGAGCTGTCCATAGTAATCTTGCTGCCGGAAGTCGGGAGGTGCGTTGCGGCGATGCACGAGACGATCAGTCTGGAGTGTGTACTGATGGCCTCGGACTGTTAATGTATGTACAGCTGGGCAGCTTGTAGTTCACTCACCCGGACATACGTCGCATCGCGATTGTGCTCTCCAAGGCCAACTAGCTCAGCCGCGTGAATGGTATCACCTCCTCCACTGATCCGGACCTTGCTCCATTGTTCGATCTCAGTAGGGACGTAGTGTTTGATAATTGTTGATGTTGTGTCGTACCGCGTTGCAAGGCTCTTGATGATTTGATTCCGCCTCTGTGTAGTGATCTTGCCTACGCGTCGGGGATGCAGGAGGATTGTCTTGGAATCTGTGTGGTGTGATGTCGACGTCAACATGATGGTGGAATTGTCAGTACATGGCACTGCTGACTCCGAGAACCAAGACAACAGTGAGTGGACTCACATCCGTGGGCGGCGAAGTCAAGCTGCTCTTCCCTGTCCTCAGGATCCTTCAGTGCAAGTTCATCCTCCAAATCGTAGATGAGCGCAATCTGTTTCAACTCAGCGACCTCGGTGGCATAGTTGCTCAAACTCGCATATGGAAAGTGACGACTCTTGACGGCTGGGAGTAGAGTGCCGCAAAACCTCTCAATCGGAAACTCCCAGCTTGCCCAGACAGGACCGGTGGCCCGCATGCTCGGCGCAATGTGCAATAGGCCGTGAATTGTGAGGGGGCACATCGAGAGGAAGTCAGGTCGGTCTTGGTAGTACCACCTGTAGTAAATACGAGAATCTTGACGATGAATTCGGACTCTCGGTGAATATGGAGTTGGAGTGAACATACCGTTCATATTCCGAGACCCATTTCATGAATAGTGTTTGAAAGTCCAGTCCATGGACTGGAAAAAGACTGGGACTGAACTGGGACTGGCCTTGGAAAGACTGGACTGGACTGGTCAAAGTAGGACTGGTCTTACCCAGTCCAGTTGCAGTCTTCCAGGGTTGGGGAAATTGGAGGGACTGGTCAAAAGACTGGTTGCAACCAGTTGCGACTGGTCTTTGGCCACCCCCCTAATATGCTGGTGTACATGGCCAAATGGAAGGTTTTGGGGGTCATAAATAGCAGTAGTACATAGGATATGCACAACATGGTGGACATATTAATGATGTAACCTATTTAGGCAACATGTATTGTCCATCTATGCACCTCCACTTATGCCTAATATGGTAGGTGTACCTGTCTCACCCTTACTGACATCACATGCCTTGCCTGTATCAGTCATTATGGACTGAAATATGATGCTCCCATGGGATACACACTATTGCCTACCATTATATACCATATTACAATAGTACAAAAAGCTTTGTAACCAAACATGCAGACATAATTGCTGAACAAACCAGTTGCAACTGGCAAAAGACCAGTCAGGACCAGTTGGGACCAGTTGGGACTGCATGTGCAGTTGCAACCAGTTGGGACCAGTCTTTGGAGGCAACTGGACTGCAAAGGACTGGTTGCAGTCAGTCCAGTCCCAGTCCTACCATTTTGGGGTCAATCTAGGACCAGTCGCAGTCGCAGTCTTTCCTCTGAGGGGTCAAAAGACTGGACTGGACTGGACTTTCAAATACTAAACATACCGCATTACACGAGACGGCTATGAGATTAAGTGGGACTTTCCTGAAGTCATCCAGCGCCGCATTGATGCTCGCATCAGGGCGACCAGCCAGGCCGTAGTACTGGTAGATAAGCTCCGGGATGCTTTCATCCCGGAAGGGCACCTTCGGCTCGACCTTCGTACGCTAAAATTGCCGTGAGTTCGTTCTGGGATTCAACACACAACGTGCGATCTGAGCACTTACCTCCCGGTCCAGCTTCTTCTTCCGATCGAAATGGATTTTGATGCCCCTGAAGACAAAGTTGGGGATGCCGCGTTTTTTTGTGCCATCGCTCACGACTGTAGGGTGCATCTCGAGAAGCCAGAAGGCAGCCTCTGTGCGTTGAGCGACAGACAGACTGCCGAACTTGAAGACTTGCTCAACTACTTGTTTGGCCTTTTTGTTTAGCTCGTTCCGCGTCTGTGATGCGCACGTCCAGACCTGATGGTGATCAGAGTCTGTGACTTCTGGTCCACCAGGAATCGTTGACTCACCACAGTGTACACCTTCTTTCTCATTGCCTCCATTGCCTCTCGTTCCTCTCGTTCCTTCTTCGAAAGCCTGACTTTCTTCCGGTCGTCCTGCAGCAACTGCAGTGCTTCCTCCATTGCAGCGTTAGGTTGGTCATTCTTACCGCGTCCTGTAAGTGTATCGTCGAGGCTATCCTTGACCAATTTGAAGCTGGTGGGGAGTCGCTGCGACGTGACGGATGCTTCCTGCGTCCATGCAGAGTTGAGGGCAATGCGCAGACGTAGGCAATTCTGCGCTGCCGAGACGAGAGATTTGACGCTATTCGGCAAGTCGGCGACCTTGATGCGACGGCTAGTTTCGCCTTCACCGGCCGTCAGCTTGTCACGATCACTCTTCTGATTGGCCTTGGTTTCAGACAGCAGCTGTATATTGTAAGTGCTATGCTGATCACCGCCAATAGTGCAGGCGGTGTACTCACTATAACGTCGCCCTCGTCCTCCTCGTCCTGCTCCTCGATCATATCATCGTCCTCCCCCTTTTCAGACCCGCTCTCCACCTCGGCTTCATCCTCACCATCGCCGTCTCCGCCTTCGTCTTCGCGTTCTTCCTCGTCTTCGTCCTCATTCTCTATCTCGACACCGTCAACCTTACCATCGCCCTCCTCGCTTTCGTCGGTAGATTCGACTGCTTCGTCCTTGCGTGTCGCTTTAGCCTTACCCTTGTCCTGTTGGATGTCAGTTGTCTTGAAATAAATGAGCTCGGTGCATAACACGACGCACTACCTACCTTCCCACTCGCCTTGTCCCCAGTTTGACGGCGACCACCGCCTCCGACGAGTCGTAGGTCAGACAAAATGATTGTGCGTATGTGAGTGAACGTACCCAATGACCGCACAATATCTTCCTCGCCGGCATCCAAAGCAGTTCTGTCTTTTGCAAATTTCCCGTACGCCGGCTTAGGTTTGGCTTAGTACCAATACGCCAAGCGAATCAGTAGTGTATAGCAGAGAGTGATCTGACCACGTACGTCGAATGGATTTACTCTGCTTAGTCGCCACATCCTCCATCTCCACATCCTCCGGAGTGTCTTCGACCGGCTTATCCTGTTCGTCGACGTCTGCCTCGGCCTCCGTACCAGCACACCTCTTTTTTTTTGCTTTTCGTGGCTCTTCATCGGCCGGTAATTCCTCTTCGTTCATCATCTTCAATGCCCTCTTGCGTACGTCTGACACGTATCATCAACCAACGATAACATTCGGGTTCATGGGTTCACGGATTTTACTGACTGGTGGTATGTTCTTCCTTCTCTGCCTACTTACTCTTCTGTACCTTCTTCTTGGCGACCGCTTCATTTGCCTTGCCTTTTGTAGGCTTAGTTGATTTCTTCGAGCCGCCTGCGGCTGCGGAGGTCTTTGTCGACCTGGTAGACCATGCCGTGCCGGAGGCTTGTTCGGTAGCGGCTGACCTCGTGGCGCGCTTAGCCATATCTGAGTACTAAGAAACGAACAGCAGAGGTGTAGACTGTAGTGAGAAAAAGAAAGAGACGCACCTGCGATAGCTGCCGAGACGCTACGAACTTCAACAATCGATGCCGGCGAGTGTCGGCGATGAACACGGGACACGGGTGACGGCCGAGCGCTATTAAGCATGGGAAAGCACGCAGCCAGTAGTCGATTCAAGCTACATAGTACATCAAATGAAACTGCTGTTATTCGACCAACCGTTGCGCCCTCCAAGCCATTTGGTCATTTCCCTGTCAGTATGCAGCAAAATATTAATAGATGCTCTACGCCCCTTGTAGTGTAAGTTGAAGTGCGTCAAGCTGCAAGAAGGAAAGATAGCGAAATCACCATGTCGTAGAGGTACTACTAAGCCTGCTTCATACAGGACAAGCTCGCCACCATCGAAATCCTCGGTGAGCTGCAGTTGCAACATTGAGATGAGGGCACATCAATTAATAGAGATACTGCACCTACAGTAGTACAATGACAATTGTACCAGGAGAAATGCATGGCATGGACTACATGCTCACCGCCGTTCTGAGCTGTATTGATTGGTTTCAGGGCCTCAGGTTCTAAGCACGCAGCAAGACGATTTGTCAGATCGTCTCGCAAGCCCTGCGGCATCGACGTGCATATGGTAGCCACTACGGTTGACTGTACAGACTGTCCCTGTTGATATTGACGTTAGCGTTGTAACAGCCCAGTAATTCAGTTTCTGACTCAAATAGGTTCCGGTTGAGGCGAACGTATCCAGTGCGTGCCGGGCGTATGCCATCCACGTACATGGCGTGAAACTGTCGAAGTGTAAATGTGACATGTAATGTTACTGTTACGAGGTTACGAGCTGTACTACATGGGCTGGAACTTACCAATGATCTCAATTCCTCCAAGCTCGAACTTGAATGCTCTGTGGCACTGCTAGCCAGGTCCCTTTGATGCTCCGTCCATCGCGAATTCTTCGCTTTGTGCCTAGGAGATTCGAAGTGTTGATTGCGGGCTTGCTCTGGGTCGTACGTCGAAGTGAGTGTCGTAGCACTAGTGGGCAAAATGATACTATGCTGCTTCGTGCGGCTTTGAAGCCATCTGAGATCCCTAGCCGCACAAGGCTGAACGTGACAGGCTATCCACTGGATGCCTCGCCTGGGACAAGGCGGCAGTGGGAAGTGAGCCGATTCCTGTTGATGTTGATTATTCCTCGAGGCAGGGTCATATGGCCCGCAGCAAGTTTACGACACGGCCTAGGAGGCCGCGCCGCTAACCCGGCAGTGTAGTACTCAGACTTTGAGAATTCGCCCTACAACGAATAAACAAAAAGTTTACCTTGTACAGTCCTGCTTAGTTCCGGTACCATACATGCACATGCATGTTTCTCGACTGTAGGTTGTTCACTGCTGCTGCCCATGGTAGGTGCATGATTGACGATGCCTGATTCTGCAAGTTGAAGTCCAGACATTTCGGCTTTCAGAGCATGTAGAGGAAAAGACGTGCTTACCTGCGCCCAATGTATAACGGGCTTCGGCATCATGTGCGGTGTTCGTGGCCTCTTCACTCGCGTTGCTGCTCCTATACACTGCACTGTACTCTGTGTGCACTGACAGTCGCCTCAGCAGCATTCTCAGCCAGTGTTAGGACTCAAAGTCTGAATAGAGGAGAGAAGCCCGGTGGGTCCGGCACTACCCTTGGGCTCGGGTGGGACTTAGATGAGTTTCTGATTCGCCGGTGTAATGGTCGGGACGAACATGATACACCATTTCCTACTATTGTCTACCACGGAACGCGCCGCGTCAACCACCTATTTTTTGACGACACTCGAAGCGTAGCGTATCTGGATCTCGTTACTTATGGGCATGTAGATGTGAGACCAAGATCGCAAAGACGCAGAGTCAGATGTCTGGACAGGCCTGGGACGACATGAGCATAAGATGAGCTCAAACGATCGTGAACACCGCTGAGTGCCACGTCTCTCCTTTCGTCGCCTTGTCCGACCGTGACTGTGCTCGATTCGCCATGCTCTCGTGGCGGCCGACATCCTGCAGAATGGCCGAGTCACATTTCAACAAGACCTTGAAAGTGCCCGTCTTCGTGTCC